ATAAACACACACACACACACACACACACACACACACACACATTATTCAGGCATAAAAAAGAAGGAAGTCTTGCCATTTGTAATACCATGGATGGACCTCAAAGGCATTATCTAAATGAAATAAGTCAGATAGAGAGAGACAAATACTGTACAGTCTCTCTTATATGTGGAATCTAAAAAACAAAAACAAAACAACCAAACTCATAGATACAGAGAACACATTGGTGGTTGCCAGAGGTGGGGGTAGGAGAAATGGGTAAAGGGGTTAACAGGTTAAAAAAAGAATTAAGAAATCAAAACTATAAACAGAAGATCAATAGACAATAGCATGTCAAAAGAAGTAAAGGCTCCTAGGTGGGAGCCGTATGGAGAATTTGTTTAAGCAAGTAAACCATGCAAGTGTGGCTGAAATGCCAGAACATGGAGAGAGTGGAGTTAGATAAAGTTGCAGAGGTGAGCTGGAGCCACGGCATGAATAGACTTGAGAGAAATACATGTCAATGATTTTGGTTTTCTCCTAAGAGCAGAGTGAAACCCCAAAAGGAATTTAGTCATGCAGTGGCATGATGAGAATTGCATTTTTAAAAGATCACTCTGGGTACTGTATGGAGAACAGATTAGATTAGATTAGAAGACTCAGAGAAACCTATTAAGAAAGGATTTTGAAAGTCTAAAAGAAAGGATCGTAACTCTCATTAAAGTCATGGTATGGAGATGGAGGGAAGATAATGGGCTCATGAGAAATAAAAGGGAACATCACATTGCCCTCTTTCCAGACCATATCCCAGGCACACATACCATGGTCCATCTGAGTACAGCCACTCTCTAGTGTATGATACCCCTGAAAGTCCATGATTATTAGCTATAATAGAACTTTCTGGTTCAAATTCATACCCCATGTTCCATCCTGTGCTCAGTTGATTTCATAAGAGGCAGGAGAAAAACAGTTTGTGATATGTCACAATTTGTATACTTTGCTTCCTGGAGCTGGCAAATGACAGGTGGTGAGAGGAATGTTGACAGCCAGTAGGCCGCAAGTGTAAGGGGAAAGGCTCACTCGCTCCACAGAGGCCCTTGTTTAAAAACCTACAAAACCTGGAATCTTAATTAGCCTAGCTGAGCCGCCCTTCCTCCCATGGGTCCAAAGAACTCTTAAAATCACCAAATCAGTCAATCAATAAATCAGTCAGAACTTTCTATAAACAGTTCCATGAAATACATAATGTTCTTAAAAGAATGCATTAATCTTTTGAAATGCAGTACCCATAGCTCAACACAATGCCCAGTGTATTAATCCTCTAAATAATGATAATAAGGAGGATGGCAGGGATTATCTCATATTAGAGGGATACCAGATAGGCAAGGAGGAGAAAGAGTATGAGAACAAAATTTTTTGTGCATTATGCCTAATATTTGATATTATTTGTAATTGGTCTAAATTGGGTTGCAAACTGTAACCTGCAAGCTAAGTCCAGCCCACCATCTGCTTTTGTGAGTTAAGTTTTATTGGGACAAAGCCACACCCATTTGTTTATGAGGTGTCTATGGCTGCTTTCATGCTACAGCTGCAGTTAAGTAGATACAAGACTGTATGGCCCACAAAGCCTAAAATATTTACCACGTACAGTCAGTTGATGAGCCCATCAAAGACATTCTCCAGATCTGTTAGTGTTTTTGAGCTCTAGCATTTCTTTTTAATTCTTTCTTAGAATTTTCATCTCTCTGCTTAAATAACCCATCTGTTCTTGCATGTTGTCTACTTTGTCCATTAGAGCTCTTAGTATATTAACCATAGTTGTTTTAAATTCCTGGTCTGATAGTTCCAACATCACTGCCATATCTGAGCCTGGTTCTGATGCTTGTTCTGTCCCTTCGAATAGTATCTTTTGCCTTTCAGTATGCCTTGAAATTTTTTTGTTTAAAGCCAGATATGATGTAATGGGTAAAAGGAACTCTGGTAAATAGGCTTGTAGTGATGTGGTGGTAAGGTGTGTGTGTTGGGGGGGGGGTGTTCTATAGTTCTATGATTAGACCTCAGTCTTTGGTGAGCCTGTGCCCCTTGACTGTGACATTTGCCAATGTGGCTGGGACAGGGTGACTACAGGGGGCTGGAGTTGTGTATTTTGCACCTCCCAGGTCAGTTAGGCTCTGATAAAACCCTAGCAAATTAGTGTCTGGTAAAATGGTTTCTCTTGAGGTTAGCCTTGTTGAGAACAGAATGTTCTCGTGTATTTCAAAATGGTTACTTTTCCCTCCTCCTGCTGGAAGCTCTAGGGAATTTTTCTCTGCTACTCACCATGAGATCCTGGTAGAGTTCCTAGAGGTAGAACAAAAAAACGGGGGCAGGGACCTCCTATTAATGGGCCCCCATTTTAACTTTCAGACTTGCCCACATAGAGCCTCCAGCATCTCACCAATTACAGTTTAGGTATTCTGAACCTGGTGCTGGTTTTCATGGAGGTTTCTGCTCAGGTAAGTTGTGCTTGTGTGTATTTGCCTGTCTCTCCAGTTTTGGGGACAGTGGTTTTTCCCTCTGACTTCACTCTTCTGAGGTGTCTAGAGGAATTGTTGATTTTTCAGTTTGTTAAGCTTTTTACTTTGCTGGGATGGACTGGTGAATTTCAAGCTCCTACAGCCTGGATTGGGAACCAGAAGTCCCCCAAATCATTTATTTTCACAGTAAGAATCCAAGAAGATTAGTATTATTATTTAATAGGTAAAGACAAAGATGTTTTTAGTCTTGCCAAACATCTTGAGGACAGCGGAGCCAGAGTCTGAGTCCAAGCAGCCTGACTCTGGGACAACTCTAAAGCTGATTCTTTTTATCAGAACACAATGCTTATCTCTTAGATACTCAGTATTCTGTTCAATTGTTGAAAACGTTCCAGTGGAGAAGGTTTCTTTGCCTTATTTACCCATCCATTCTAGTGTAGGACATTTTTAGGGGTCAAGAAGTCCCTTCTGAGATTTAATATGCATCTCTTCCGGTGACAGTAGAAATTCCTCTGTCCACACTTCTGAGGCAATGAGAACAGCCTTTTGGCACTATCTTTATAATATCTTTGCACATTTCCCTTGGAACCTTGGAGCTAGCTCTCTGAGTCAGAAGGAAAAGCCACTTAAAAAATAGCACACACATGTGTGCACAGCTATCACCAAGATAGATATGTACAGGGAGAACTTGTACTAGATTCTCTTGTAAAGTAAGCTAACTCCATTATCTGTAGACCAGATTGCCTTAATGCCATATGCTATTGTGATTTGTCTCACTCTTACCCCAAACCAATCTGGAATGACACAGTTAAGCCCCCAGCTGGTGATTTCAGGGTTGAAGAGATGACCTGGCCATCAGCACCAAGACCCACCATATATGATGCCGAGTCCTAATGGATGACAGGAGTGTGAGGGCTGAGGAATAAGCCAGAGAAGAGCAAAATCTGTCTGGGTGAGGTTGCATACTACATGAAATGGCCAGATTGTACAGTTCCCTCATGAGTCTGCCCAGAGGCTGCCCACCATTAGAGTCCATGTTCTTGGGGACCCTTGAGTAACAGAATATTTCTCAGCCTTTAATCTTTTCAGTTGGTTCAGCTGTTTGATACTTTATTGAAAAAGCCTACATCTATCCAGTAGTATTATATAATGTGATTGAAAGAAAGATCTCTCTCATTTGCTGGTGAAGGACTGGTATGTTCTATTTTAACTTGTTTCCAGAGTCCCCAAATCTCTTGTGTCAAAACTCTCTTTTTGCTACTTCTCTTGGAGATACCTCTCTTGGAGGGGAACTACACAGAAAGACATTATTTGATGGGTCAGAAGATCCTGTAGCATCGTAAGTCATGAACACAAATATTTTAGGCTTTTGTTTGCTCCTCTATTCTTTCATGTCTCTGGCCTTGGCTCTGTGAACTAAAGTAAAAAAGTTTCCCAAGACCAATTATAGTAGTAAATGAGTTAGGCTACACCAGGATCACGCCTGCCTTATATCCCTTTTTGATCATGTGAAATTTCCATCTTTTTCAAGGCACACATGGCCACTCCGATCAGTGTGTTGAGGGGTCATCTCCAGACCCATGGTCATGTAGGCTTCCTGTCCCATAGTATGAGTGTGACTACTGTATCAGCCAAGCAGTTGCCCTCAGACATGGCACTTCCTTAGTGTGTCCCTAAACTTGCAGCACAAGCAACCCATCCTTGCTCCTCCTTGGCCTCGAACTGACCATAAGCACACCAGTGCAGGAACCAATTTGAACTTTTAACTGAATAGAAAGTTTGGGTCTAACACAGGGATCCCGGTCAGTTACCCTTTTCTTTTTATCAACCCATTAATGTCATCTAAATCCATGTCCTGAGCCTCTTTTCAAAGACCACGATTCTGTAAAGTATCTACTACTCTTCTAAGTGTTCTAATTACACTTGATTTACTTTCCTTCTTTCATCTGGTTGGTCTGTCTTGTCCTGTTTGATAGCCCTAGAGGATGATTTTTATTGAGTAATATTTTATACGGATAGCTCTTCTGTACAAATTCCCATAGTTATTTCATAGAGATATAGAGGATGTGTATGACTTCAAAGCCCATGTTTTTAACTATATTATTTTCCTGTTATCTACAGATAGGAGTATTATTTTGGTGGGAGAATATTTTGTACATATAGCTCTTCTGTGCAGAGTGTAAATTGCCATAGTTGGTTCGTAGAGATACATAGGATATGCAAAAAAAAAAAATTAATCCACTAGATATTTCAGTCATTGTTGATCCACTTTTTTTTTAAAAGATTTTATTTATTTATTTGACAGAGAGAGACACAGCAAGGGAGAGAACACAAGCAGGGGGAGTGGGAGAGGGAGAAGCAGGCCTCTTGCGGAGCAGGGAGCCCAACGTGGGGCTCGATCTCAGGACACTGGGATCATGACCTGAGCCTAAGGCAGACGTTTAACGACTGAGCCACCCAGGCGCCCCTGATCCACCTTTTTAACATTTTTTCTTTCAGAGGAGGATTTTAAGCAAAAACATATAACAAGCAGTGAGGCAAAGAAGAGCATGTCACATTTGAGGAAGAGGAGGGATTTGGAGGGCCTGAAGCACAAGGGGTAGAATGATAGAACTTGCAGGGGATGAGCCTCTGGATAGGATGGGGCCAAGGCGGGAAGGCATCACGCATCACACTATGAGTTTGTCTTCCCCCTGTGGGCAACCTCAGCAGTCTGGTCATTAGCCCTCTTTCTTTACAACCTGGAGAACTGGACCAGGTCCTGACTGATCTCGGCAACCGACCGGCAACCTAAAAGAACAGTTAACAAGCTTATTTCTCTAAAACACCAATAACCCACCCCATCATGAGTAATGGGATGATCCAATGGGAACAAGCCTGACTTGATCTTTGTGCCCACCCTGAAAAAACATTATGGATACCAGAGGAATAATGTGATTCTGATTGCCTTGAGAATTATTTTGTGAGCCTGTGCCCAAGTCCTCTTTCAACACAGCCATGTTGTGGCTGTGTTGAAAGAGGCATAGTAAAAATATAGAAACACCATCTTAGCACTTGCAAAATCAATTAATATGTGCCATAGATACACTTGACCTTTATCTGAGTGCTGATAAAGCTCAGGGATATAGGAAGTATGTGTCAAGGAAGAATATGAGTCAGGAATAAGAGATGGAATGATTATTTCATACAGCGGTTGCCTTCTAAGGGAAAGTGCTGCAAAATGTAACACTTCTTTAGTGGAGGATCTTAACTAAAATGCAAAATTAGAACTGTAGCTGAGATTAGACGCAGGGACTGAAGAGAGTGGCGTCAGATAAGAAGCACGAAGAGGAAGGAGAAAGAGGGAGTAGTCTGTTGGTGTAGACTGGAGAGCTGTAACCTTGAGTAGACAGGAAATCCTTGGTGATGATAAGGCAGAAAGACTTGAATGCCAGGATGTGTAATGATTAATTCGAAGTTTTTCCCACATGTATGATGTGTGCATCTTCACCTCCCAAAACACAGCTTTAGCAAGATGTATTACTCGCGAAAATACAACTAATGAGAGTGTCCTTTTCCCCTCTAAAAACTATGCCTGGGTTGATTGTAGTGGACAGAAATGGCAGGCATGGGATGCAAAAGTAACCCACAAAATGAACTTATTCAGCAGAAGCAGGAATTTGGTACCAGAGGCAGCTCTCCTCAGAATGGACAGTGGTCTTAAGAGCTTTGGGTTTCCCCAGGGCAGAGAATAGTGGGTCATCACAGTAGGCAGTCCTATTCAAGGAGCACAGAGGATGCCAAAATATGATCTTCGGTTATATATTGTAATAAAAATAATATTTAAATGATGTAAAAATGTCTCAGTAGTTGCATCCAGATTATGTTATGACTCCATTTTGAGACCGTTTGACCCATAAACCTTGGTAATGTTTCTGTACTTATTCGACTCTCATCAGATTGGTTTCTGGGTCTCATGCGGTACCAAGGGCATTGCCCTGCCCTTGGCAGAGGCTCAGTAGAAGTTTGAGAGAGAATGCATATTTATAATTTTTTCATTACTGTAAATTCGGAGGATATTTACACTAAAATGTTTTGGCTACTTTAAAGTGAAGTAGGGAATTCCGAACAATAAACCTCGAGAAGGTTCATATACTTTTTAATTCAGCCTCCTTCCCTTATGAAGGATAAGACTTTAGTAAGCCTGTGTTGGTATGATTTTATGTGGACATTTTCCAAGACAGATCATGATTTTAACCTTCCTATAAGTATAATTTCAGCAATTGGTCTCACGGTGAGAAAAACCATGACTTTTTAAGCTTATTTTGCTTTCAGCAATAGTGCAAATAGAGGTCTCCTCCCAGGGCTGTGATGTTACAGGGTCATTAGGGAAAAATGTCACACATCTCCAGGGGAATTAGGAGAGAGAAATCATATGAACTGTTTCCTCCTGGGTGCTGATTTTGGGTCAGGCATCTCACGTGCATTGTGTGTGGAAGGGCTAAGGGGTGACAGAATCTTGGCGCTTTCACACTATGATTTTGCATTTTAGTGAGTTCCACCAAAAGCCAGGCCCCCCGCCTGAGATCCCTTCTTCCCATGGACTAGCCTGGGGGAGAGACTCTTATGCAGAGGATGCCAACGGATGCCCTTCTTCCTGAGTATCCTATTCTTTCTCTCTCCTCCTACTCTGTCCCATGTTTGGTTGTGATTACTCATTTTTCTATATATGCATTTAAAACAATACATTCTCATTGTACAACAGTTAGAAGGAGGGTAGTATAAGCTGTCAGCCCTAAACAGGCTCACAATTCTGTTTCTTCTCTGCCCCTTTTAAAAAAGGATGCTCTCCACTCTATTTCAGAAGGAGATTTTCCAGCTACCGTTTCTACCCCAGCGATTGTTAAGTGTAAACTTTTGGTAGAATAAAAAAGCTTTGTTATTGTGAATTCCCCCAACAGGCTTCTGTTAAAAGAATACCAGACATCATTTTGCAAGGATGGGAGAAAATATTTGGGGGAGCAGGAAAAGTCATTTCAACCTCCTGGAATCTGCAGAAGCTCATGGGTCTACCTATCCTTCACGCCCCTCCCTCCCAGGGACAAAACACACCAATATGATATCTGTTCATGCTCATGCCCTCCCCCTCCCTTACAAGAGGGCCTGGGTGACACCAAGTCATTTACTGACTTATCTTCATAGGCTCTGAAGAGTATGGCTCTGGTCCAAAGTTGACGGTCCTTGTCTTCCATGCCTTGATCTATTCTTCCCCCCTTTTTTTCTTTAATTAATTTGCTCAGTGGGAAGGAGGATGGTGCTGGCAGTAACACTGATCTAAGTTTTCTATTTGTATTACTCAGGCCCAAAAGTTGAGTCTGCAACCCCAATGGACACTACTAACATAACTTGGACACTGAGTACAAGACACTTGTCTAAATATCAGACCAAAGCCAGACTTGAGAAGAACCTGGACGTCCTGCCTTGTGCTCAGCACATGACCGATGCTCTGTAACATTTATGGAAATAAGTTAATGGCATGAAAATGGTCTTGATTTCACATCAGAGCTCCTGATTCATTATTTCCTTACTTCTGGAGACGGTGTCTGCTATTACCAAATTTTAGAATTGAGGAGTGAATGGAGGTCTCATTGGGGTTCCTCTTATCTGTCCTTTCACATTGTGACCAGTCAGATCTACAGCAGACAAAGACAATCAATGACAGAGCCATAGGCCATTGGCATTTGGGTAGGGTAGTTCTTTTCTATGAGACTTCTCCAGGCATTTTAGGACATTTAGTGCTCCTAGCCTCTGAGCACTAACTACCGGAAGTATCCACCCTGCAGTCTTTGTGCCAACTGGAAAAAAATAAACTCAAAACTCTAAAAACAATTCTTCCTGAAGAGGGCAATCATTGTCGATCTCAGTTAAGAACTACTATTTTATAGGTCACTGGGATCCCAGGCTTTGCTAAAAACGTATAAATTTTTATGAGCACTACTTTACAATAACTTCATTTTTGACTGAAGTCCACCTGCATGGAACTTTGAGATGTCCATGTTTCTCTGGCTGTGGTTACACAGGACGGCACTTCTCCTGTTTCCCCCTTCTCTCTTCCTGTTGTATCTGTCTCCCCACTTCCTCCATGCTTCCTCCTTGACATAATTTCTCAACTCCCCACAGCCCATGAATATGAAAAAATGACCCACAGAACCATACCCAACAAGCCTGCTTGTGTGATCTGAGCAGGCCAGAGCACAGGGGGACCCTCTTTCCTATAATCTGAAATTGCATTTGCTTTCGTGGCAAAGGTATCACCTTTTGAGTTTGTGTTCAGTCTTTGTCTGGGGCATCTCTTCCCTCCTTTCTCTTCTAGGCAGCCACTGGGCTGGGGAAGGGGAAATAGAAAGAGGGGTCACCACTCCCATTCTGTAGCCCTCAGGCCTTCAGCTCCAAATCAGGAAAAGAATTGTGAAAACTTACCTGTGAGGGTCATGGAAGTGTGGAATTCATTTTTTATAAGGTTCAAAACTTCCTCAACGCCATGTTCACCCTGCTCCCAAGATGGGGGTGGTGGGGTGGGGAGAGACAAAAAGAAGGGTGAAGAACATTCTGCCCAGGTGCTGAGTAGCTGTTCTAGGTGTGCTCCCAGCTGCGGTGGGGAGGACAAGGATGTCTGTGAAATTGGAACTACACTGGGAAGACAGGGAAGCAAAGAGGAAAAGATGGGGGCGAGGGGGCCTGAGAATGTGAAACGCCCTGCCGAGGAAGCGGGAGAGGCGGGCAAGGGGGAGTTGTCCCTCAGGATCTGTGGCACCTGCAACAACAGCTCAGCTTGGATGGCAAACCACAGTAAAGCCCGGGAGCAAATGAGAAGCCCAGTATCTTCCCACTGGTTTCCACTCTGCCACTCTCACCTTATAGGCAAGACCCCACAGGACTGGTCTCCCCAGAAACACACACTTAGCCCCAAGGGCCAGAGCCTTGAGCACATCGTTGCCAGTTCGGATCCCACCATCCAGGTACACTTCCATTTTCCCTTTCACGGCAGCCACCACTTCTGTCAAGGCATCGATCTGAGAAAGAGACATGCATGGCTTGAGGGATTTCCATTTTTCACTCTTGGGGATCATGGGGCAGAGGTGGCCCTCAATGTGGGTCAGGAACAGGAAGTCCAAGTATAATGCAGCTACGTTCCTGAGCCCCACGGACTTTCTTTTTATTTTTAAAAAATATTTTATTTATTTATTTATTTGAGAGAGAGAGACTGCGCGCACATGAGCAGGAGGAGGGGCAGAGGGAGAGGGAGAAGCAGGCTCCCCACTGAGCAGGACCCTGGGACCATGACCTGAGCAGAAGGCACATGCTTAACCGACTGAGCCACCCAGGCGCCCCGTGAGCCCCAGGGACTTTTTGCAGGCTCTCCCTCTTGCCATTTTCTGCCCTGACAGAGTGTAGCTTCTCTCTGGCTCCTTGTTCAACCATCTACAGCTTGGAAGAAACTCTTGGTTCCTCTTCACATCCTAAAGGGGATATTTTCCATTTATGGTCTTCACTTTAATGTTCTTTCTAAAGTGCATTTTGACTTTTGGTTTTCTCCTGCCTTCTCTGTTTCTACGGCGGCACAGCTAGGAATGCTCTCCATTGCTAAGGCACTGAGTCCTTTTGGCAAAGCAAATGTGTCTGGACCACAGCCTGTCTTGTGTAACTGGGATGCCCATTGTTCCTTACACACCACGTTTGAACAACTTGTTCCTGACTCCTGTATGGGTTATCTGAGACATGGGTTGGGAATGCAAGCAGCAGGGCTGTCGAGGTAGGGTTGCACACTCTGAAAGGCAAAACAAAAGCAGCTTATCACTTGGCCTGGTTTCTCCCCAGACTTTGTCTCTCACCTTGCCTCCCCTGTTCCAGGCTCTGCAGCTACCAGGTCTTGCCAACCCACAGTGCCCCAGACTGAGCCGTAGTCCTGAGCACCTCCAAGTCTAAGAGGAGGGGTGACAGCGGAGTCTGGGAGCAGGGTCCTTGAGGACAGAGTTTTGGAACTGTCTCAGGGCTCCTGTTCTATGCCTCTTGGACAGACAGCTGGAGAGGAGGCGAAACTGGGCCCTCGGGGACTTCTGCTGCAGAAGGAGTCAATGGCAGTTCTGTCTCAATGAGATCCTTTGGGTGACTGAGCAGAATATGTAATCAGGGAGGAAAGAACTTTGTACTCTAATTTACAAGTGGAGGAGAACTGAATACTTTAGACTTATATATGAGAATACTGCTGGAATGCATGTCCAGATAAGTGGTATTTTTATAGCCCCAGCATGGTATTATTTGGAATATTTCGATGATATTGGGAAAAAGAAATAAACACATCTGTGCAAACTCTTCCAGTGAGCTGTATTGGACAATGGAGCTGATGGAATTTGGAGAAACAGACCAGGGGGTGAATTTTAGCCTAGGGTACAGTATTGCTTTAGAGTTACTTTCGATAGGTCACAATAGGACATTCATTAGAGCGTTCTGGGGACAACAGCTAGCTGACCCTTTTTTCCGGTCCCAGGAAGAAATACAGGAAATATATGGAACCTTCTAGAGATGGGAGCTTCAAAGGGTCATACCCCTCACAGAGAGGGTCTGGGGTGAGAGGAGTGAAGCACTGACCTCAGGCACAAAATTTAAGGAATGCCAAAACACTCAGATAAATAACATTTGGATGTAATATTTAAAAATTGAAAGGCAAGCTTTGACCTGTGAGCAAGGGTGGGTGACTGCTTGTTTTTGTAAATAAATTTTTTTTGGATCTGGGGTCAGGATGACAGAGAGATGTGTGGAAGCAGGTTATGCAAGCACAGGAACAGATCCTATTTTTATTTAAAATGTTGATATTTTGTTCACCATGGAACTTTTTGCATTAATTTTAATTTTTTTAAATACTGCATTAAACTATTATTTATCTTTTTTTTAAAAGATTTGATTTATTTATTTGGCAGAGGGAGACACAGCGAGAGAGGGAACACAAGCAGGGGGAGTGGGAGAGGGAGAAGCAGGCTTCCCGCTGAGCAGGGAGCCTGATGTGGGGTTCGATCCCAGGACCCTGGGATCATGACCTGAACGGAAGGCAGACACTTAGCCACCTAGGCGTCCCTAAACTATTATTTATCTTACTAAGTTTTTCTGGCACGTTCTCAAATTTTGAGCCAGAAGTACTTCACTAGCTTCACACCAATCTCGGCACCGTCCCCTTGGGTTTGGTTGTTAAGTCAGATGGCTTGGGAGAATGATGGGGAAGGAGAAATTCTCTCTCTGGCTCCTACCTTTGCCAACAGTCATTCTCTATTGAGGAAGTGCAGTGGGGAGCAATTACTCGGCCTCTTTCTCCATGTATTACTCAGTCCTCCCCTCAACGGAGCAAGACTGGCTAAACTGATTCATGAGCCAATTGCATACTGTTTTATTAGAGTTATTTCGAGAGTCAACATTCTACTCTATTTGCTGCTTGCTGGTGGTGGGCTCTTTTTTGTTTTCTGTTCCTACCTGTAGGCACAATTGGGACTGCTCAGGACCTGCTGTACTTTATAGCATCCTGTTCTGCCAGTTTCTGGGTCTGTGGGAGGTGGCCTGGGGGCATCCTTGCAGGACTTGGGTGAGAGTGCTGGCATGTGCTTTGCATATCTACTTTCTCCTGGGGTCACAGGTCAAAATTTGGGATGGGAAGTAGGATACCCAACTGTCCCCTTCAATCAGCTCTTATGGAGAGCTAAAGTGAGCTGTGCTCCTTATTCTCTAAGTGGACTTGTTATTCTGTGCCTTTTCTCTCTCAGTGAGAGCCTGGTGGGGAGGAAGGGGTGAGTCATTGGCACGTTAAACCTCCAAGCTTCACAAGCCTTGAAATGTACAAACTGGTTGATACAGCTTCTCCATTTCCTGGAATTCGTTTTAAAGAAGTAATTGAGACTGCTAAAGATTTAAGGATGGTCATTGATGCATTGTTTAAAATGGTGAAGGCTTGGAAGTCATTGGATGTTCAACAATAGGCAGTTGGTTATATAAATTGTCCCTTTGTGCTATACACCATTAAAAATGAGAGAAACGTGGGGCGCCTGGGTGGCTCAGTTGGTTAAGCGACTGCCTTCGGCTCAGGTCATGATCCAGGAGTCCCGGGATCGAGTCCCGCATCGGGCTCCCTGCTCGGCGGGGAGTCTGCTTCTCCCTCAGACCCTCCCCCCTCTCCTGCTCTCTCTCTCTCAAATAAATAAATAAATAAATAAATAAAATCTTTAAAAAAAAATGAGAGAAACGTATATACTGAAATGAAATGATGTTCTTAATATATTGATAAAGTGAAAAGAGAAAAATTACAAAATAATATGTAGCTTTTTAAACCTAAACTGTCATCTTTGCATTAAGAAGTTGATAAAAAACAATTCCCAAAATATTGTCATTAGTGATAGTGATGAAATTAGGGGTGATTTTTATCTTCTTCTTTTTGCATATGTACATTTTATGATTTATCTGCAGTGAACGTGTTTTACTTATGTCATAGAAAGGCCAAAAGAGAGAAAAAACCCACTTCCCTTTCTTTCTTTCTTTTTTTTAAAAGATTTATTGATTTTTATTTTTAGAGAGAGGTGAGAGAGAGAGAGCATGAGCGGGAGGGGCAGAGGGAAAGGGAGAGAGAATCCCAGGGACAGCAGAGTCTGCCGTGGGGCTCTATCCCACGACCCCGAGACCCTGACCCGAGCCGAAACCAAGAATTGGAAGCCCAACCCCCTGTGTCACCCAGGTGCCCCCACCCCACACTTCCTTTTCTTACAATAAATCAAGTAGTGATAGAAGAATCTCTTGGAAAAATATAAGCTATATATCTCCAAGAAGATAAATCAACAATTAATTCCCATTTAAAGATTCTTTCCTTGCCTGCCTCTTCATCTGTAACGGACATAAATTCAAAAGATAGGGGAAAATCACAGACTGTCACAGATTTTTAGAAGAAGATTCATATGGCATTTTTTAGTTTTACTGTGAAAAATGGTTATTTATTCGTGTAAGTGAGGTACTGTTCCTTCCCAGGATGTGTCATATGAGAAAATATGTTGTTACACTCCATGCACACAGGCAGTCTTTAAGCTGAACACTTCCTCCAGAAGGCAGGAGACCTCAGTGCCTTTGGAATGTCGTGCCTAACTATGTGAACTTGGACAAGTTACTTAACATTTCTAAGCTCCAGGATCCCCATCTGTAAAAGAGTGATGATGCTATACATCTTGCAGGACGGTTGTGAGATTTAGAGATGATGTATGTGAAGTTTGTAAAAATAACCTGGCACACGCTAGACTGTTAATAATTAAAAGTTCTTGCAATTAACAGTTATGTACCAGCATATGTGGTAAGGGAGAGGGGAGTGTGGGCCAAAGTGCACAGAGTACCATGCTGTAGGCACACTCAAGCGCGCACACACACACACACACACACACTCACACACAAACCCCCTCTGAAGTCACCCTACTTACAGAAGCGGGAACGTCATCAAGCTGCCTCCCACCATGGTTGGAAACAATGATGCCATGGACATTGTGTTTCACAGCTAACTCTGCATCCTCTTTTGTCAAGATCCCTTTAAGGATGATGGGCAATCGCGATATGCTCTGAAGCCAGGAGAGATCATTCCAGCAGAAGGATGAGTCAATGGGGGACATCTGGAAATAAGGCATTGAATTTCTCTGTGGGGAAGAAAAAAGAACCTTAGACCTGAGCTCCTTGAGGATTGTTTGATCCATTCCAAACCGAGACACATTCAGATAGCCACCTTTCATAAGCCTTAAAAGAGTAGTAACAGAATCAACAACACTTCCACCTCCTTTTCCTAACAAAATTTGTGCAAAAGAATTACTATCTCAACTGCTTATTCATTAACCATTAATTGTGCCCTGCTCTATAATTATGCCAGGATATGGGGACACAAAGACAAATAAGACACAGTCCCTACTTTATTTTTTTTTATTAAGTTCAATTAGCCAACATAGAGTACATCATTAGTTTTTGATGTAGTGTTCAATGATTCATTAGTTGTGTATAAGACCCAGTGACACAGTCCCAACTTTAAAAGAACCTCAGAGTTTAGTAAGTGAAGGGGATAAACAAAAGCATTTATAGGCCGATATAACATGTTATGCTTGAGATATGCCCAAGGTTATAAGAACTAAGAAATACTTCGATAATCCTGAATCAGATACTACCTTATATCTAACCTTGGCTCACCATGTGAATCAAATATCTGTAAATCCCAGTGTGTCTCTGGAATCTGAGATAAGGATTCCAGAAACCTTCAAGGCTAATTTGTGGTTAATGTGTAGAACTGTTGAGTCACTTGACTGAGTATCACAGCTGCCCACTGGCTGAAAAGGCTGATACCATTATCTCTAATGTAACCAAGGGACTCCAATGTTGCCAAAACTTTCTCTCTCTGGGGCATTCCATCCCATCTGACTGTAGGATTTTAATGGGGAAGTGGCCTTTGCAGTCACCTATTTCAGATTCCAAACAAGTGTACTGCAGTTCCAGGGAGGAGTTCTAGGTGTCGAGAGGTACCGACCCTCAGTTCTCAAGGCAGCAGGGTCAGAGGCCTGGGCGGGCTACACTCTGTGGGCCAGTCACCTTGTCTGTGAGCAGCCTCTTCAGGAGGTCAGTTCACCTAAATGTGCCATCCAAAATGATCATCTGCTTGCTAAGCGTCCCATGGTGTAGATAGTGTTGGAAGAACTTGGTTAATTTACTCTCTTATGGCATGGAAAATTCCTTTCCATAGCTTTCCTATTTCTTAACACCCAGCCCTGGCCAGAACGCTTCTGGTGACAGGCTGGGTAGCTCCAGGAGTGAGGACATTTTGTGTTCTATCCTGCTCATCTGGTAGCTCTGGATAGCAGGAACCAGATCTGCTGTTTGAGCCGGGACATCTGCAGTGTCTGGCAAGACCCGGCGCTCAGGGACTTTTTGTAGCAAGAGAGAAGGGAGAGGAAGGAGGGGAGGAAATTTGCCTCCTGTCATGCCTGCCCATTGGATCTGGTATCTTTCCTACCTCTTTAGGCGAGCGAAGGTCTTTCAGCAACAAGTTCATCTTTAAGTTCAGCTGGTTTCGAAAGTCACGTCGCCTGTTGCCAATTTTGGGTGCATCCACAGTGATGACCAGAGCTCTGAAGCCCAGGGATTCAGCCCTCTGGACCAGCTGCTTGTTGAGCTGCTTGTCTGGCTGCATGTAGAGCTGGAACCACTTGAGGCCCCTGGGGGCCGCGGCAGCAATGTCTTCAAGGGGACAGCTAGCATAGATGCTGGTGACGTAGCAGACCCCGGCTGCCTGGGCGGCTGCAAAGCCAACAGCACAGCTCAGGTTGGAGGGAGGAGGGCTCTGGGCCTGGGGGAGAAGCCCTCACAGTCCGTGCCACCTCTGGCCTGTTTGCCCTCTGAGTGGAGATAAAGCTTGACTTCATCCCGCTTCCCACTAGAGCAGGGGGCGTAGGGGGCATTCGGTCAGCCCCGGAGCCCTCCCCCCCCGCCCAGCTGTAGAGCCTGTCCTCCAGACCCTGTCAAGTTTCCTGGCTGGAGCGGTCATTCAGTGCCCGGAACGATTTTGGTTGGACATGCTGCAGCTTTCTGATGGGAGAATGGGCTGCCCGTGAACTCGTTGATGAAGCAGAAGGGAACTAAAGAGGACAAAGGGTGAGGAAAGGTGATGCCAGGGGAGAAGGCTGAGCTCTGTCCCGGAGAAAGCATGCTATCTAAGTTAGAAGAGTGCTCGTTCTCCCCCCTCCTAGCTGTGTGCCTTGAGTCTCATTTTCTTCGTCTGTCAAATGGGGGGAAATAATAATGCCTCTCTTATAGGGTTGCTGAGAGATTAAACAAGATACTAGATATGGAAGCATTCTTATGTGTTTTATTTATTATTATTATCATTTTTTTAAATAGGGCTGGGCGTGGAGCTCACGATCCCGAGATCAAGACCAGAGCAGAGATCGAGTTGATGCTCAACCGACTGAGCTGCCCGGGCACCCCTGGAAGCATTTTTAAAATTACTAAGTGATGTGCTGTACAAAGGCTTAGTGATCACGAGGTTGGCGAGGGTGGGGGTGACGGTGATGTTGACACTGCTGTGTATTTCTCACTTCCTACTGTGATTGTTGTTTTCAGTAGGACTCTCTAGTAGGTCAATGTCACTACCACTCCACAACCCGGGCAGACTCTGGCCTAATCAGGATTTAATATTTTCAACTCCTGACACCAACAGGAGATACCCCATTCTTCGGCCCCACTGCAAAAGCACCACGCGTCCAACCGTGAAGATTTAGTAAAACAGTCATAGTCCTACAGGATATTCATATTTGAGCCTAGCCAGTCTTGGCTCCTAACCAGACAGATGTCACTTGGAGCTCTAGAATCCTTGGATTCATTGCTTCCTATATCACGGAGTCAAAGGAAAAGATCCCAGGGAAGTCCTGGGCAACCTGCAAATGAAATATTTCCTAGATGTGACCTAGAGTAAAGATTATAAAGGGAGTCACAGGACTATTTTCAGCCCTTCCCCTCCCCTCTTCCTTCTCTTCTCATTATTTTTTGGTGCAGAGGGATGGGGGAAGAGAATAAGGGGCTACTAGGAAGGAGACATATGCAATAAGAAACTTTTTGTCATCTAAGATGACAAAGTCAGTCAAGGAGAAGGGAAACACAACATTTGGGCAGGAACACCTGCCCGGGGCTTTGTCAGGACCTCATGTCATGACTCTCTCCTCATCCTAAATTCAGAGACTCACCCTTCAGCCCCAGCCCTGGCCCATGAGGGGTCAGGTCAAAGAGAGCCCTATCCTTGAAGTCACGCTGAGAATCCCTTTCCCCGCAGACTGTGAGTGGCCTGCATCCCTCCTTCGCAGGGTGACCTGCTTGGTTTCCACATCTTTTCATCTGTAGCCGCCCTCTCTTTGTGATGGAAATGGATGTTTTCTCAAACTGGGATGAAATGTTATGTGAACATCCTCCTTAATTCTGACCAGATTGCTGTCCCTATGCTCCCTCTGGGAGAAATCCTGCTATTGTTCTGAAGGTTACCTGCACACTTCAGGGCCCCTGGGAAGGGAGCCTCGAGGTGCGGCTGGGTCATACCTCTGGCTGTGCTCATTTCTCCGTCTGGCCAGACGAGGCAGTGGAAACCCGTGGGCGCGATGCCAATGGGGGCTGTGATCTCCTCCCCTTGGACTGTGGTCCGGGTGTCCACCTCTTGCACATCTCTCAGGTACCGGGGGCGGAGACGGATTCTGTGCCCAGCAACAAAGATTCTTCTATTAGTGGGGTTACTCTCCAGCATGCAGCTGCTGCATGGGGCTGGGGCTTCCAGATTTGGGTGCAGGTCTACACCAGACTGGGTCCCAAGAAACCTCTGGTGGGGTCAGTTGGCTGATTAGAAAGCCTTTCCTAACATCCTGGCCCACATTAACCCCACTCCCTCTAAACTCCCAGTGCACGTGTGGCCCACACCACCTCTGGCCTTGCTCTGGCACAGATCTGTGTCTTTGAGTCTTGCCTTCCTGAGCAGACTCTCAGCACTTGGATGCTTTGATTGATTTACCATACCGAGGATTAGAAAAGAAAAGATTTAATAAGCAGGAAGGAGTTCTAGGCTCTTTGCTCATGGGTTAGAAACAAGTCTCTATAAAGTAAGAAAAGGTCACTAAAAGAGGACAAATCCCAGAGAATGATCATGGTGGGGGCTTGTTTTGTTTTGTTTTTCGCTAGAAGCTAATTCATTGGAAGATTTAACTTAACTACTGCTTTAGAAAAAGGTAGGGAATTCACAATAGTAAACATATAAAACACACTTTTAAGTCCAATAGAGACTTAGTCTCAGGGTCCAAAAATGCGTATTTTTCACAAAATATTATTATTCCCATATACAAACATAGAAAGGTTTTGCTAGATATATTGTTTGTACAAACTTGGGTAAGATACAAACTTCATCTGTGAAATGGGAGAATAATCCAAACTCCATAATTGTCTCATGAAGACAAAATGAGCTAAAGCAAGTAAGGGGCCTAGTATAGTGCCAAACAAGTATGAAAATACAGAACGTTGTGTTCACATTGTATCCCATTTTTCAGTTTTCTCTTGACCTCTCTATTATAGGGGGCAGCAAGCTGTTTTGTAAAGGGCCAGATAGTAAATATTTTAGGCTCTGTGGACCACGCAATCTGTCCCAGTTACTCAGATCTGCTGTTGTAATGCAAAAGCAGCCATAGACAATATGTAAATGATTGACCATGGCTGGTTCTAATAAAATTTTATTTATAAACACTGAAATTCGTATTTTATATAATCTTCACCTGTAACAAATTATCATTCTTCTTTTAGTTTTTTTTTTCCAACCATTTAAAAATGGAAAACAAAAATTCTTAGCTTGTGGACCATCCAAAAACAGGCGGTGGGCCCGACGTGGCCTCTGGGCTGTTTACCACCCTGTACCCTACCCGCTGCTGTTCCAGCCCAGCTCCTCTTTGAAATCAACCTCCTTTCACCCTTAAGACTCTTTGGGTCTCAGGATGCCTGGGTGGCTCAGTCGATTAAATGGCTGCTTTCAGCTCAGGTCATGATCCCAGGGTCCTGGGATCGAGTCCTGCATCCGGCTCCCTGCTCAGGGGAGATCCTGCTTCTCCCTCTGCCTGCTGCTCCCCCTGCTTGTGTTCTCTGACTAATAAATAAATAAAATCTTTTTTTTTTTTTTAAAAAGACTCTTTGGGTCTCCATATTTCTTGTGTCCCCTCTCCCAACAGACATTATCTCCTTTAAGCCAGAAGTTTAGGAACTCAGGAGATTTAGGCCTACCCCACCGGCTTCTCCTCCCTGCCCAGATAATTGATGACCTTGGACTCTTGTCCTATCTTGTTGGGTGGCAGAGTTGCTGGGATGCAGAGGGAGGGTGACTCATGTTAGTTCTGCAGAGGCACTAAGATATGTTTTTTCTCCATTCATCCTCTCCCTGGCCACCTGCCCACCCCCCAAGAAGACCCCCCAAAACCCAAAACAATAACAACAAAACCCATTGATATATCTTGAGTACTCTGTGTTCTTTGGAGGCAGAGAACAGGGCTGCTACCTTCCAAGGACCCCTCACCCAGTGCACCTTAGCTTAACAAGAGAAAGGATACAGAAGACCAGACTTTTTAAACGCTGCCATGTTGTCATCACGGGTGAAGCATTCATCAGCTCCTCCTTCAATAAAATCCCAAGTTGACTTAGAAAGATGCTCTTGGGCATAAGCCTGAAAGTCTGTCAAACACACCAAGGGCATTTCTGGACCTTCAAAGGAAAAACCAAAACCAAACAAACAAGACACTGAGAATACGTCAGATGTAGAGGAGAAGGTAAATGTGGGGGCTATGGCCTGAAGCTGTTTGGATTCAACAATGACCCCCGTGTATTCCTTATCCCAGTGGAGGTATTACCAAAGATGCTGATCCCTACGCTTCCATTCTCTCACTCCTCATACCCAAATGTTGATTATCTGGTGTTCTAAATATCCCTCATGTTTGTCCCCTCATCTCTACAATTTCATGGCCTCAGATCCGGTTGAGGCCATGCCACCTCTTGTAAGATTATTACAAAAATTTCTTCTCTTTGTCTCCTAGCCTCCAGATTCATTCTCTATCTCGTCTCCCTCCAGGTCCCTGGATCTTTCTGAAATGCAAGTCTGATCAGATGCCCCTGTGATGGCCATCACAGCTTTCCTGGACCAGCTCCTAACTGTCTTACCAGCTTCATTTCTGGGTGGTTTTTCCTTGTCATTTGAATCACTACAAGCATTTCCTGAACATGCCCAAGAGCTGTTTCCTACCTTTTGGGGAGGAGATCATCAGGCTGGGAAAATTGGGGCTGATCTGATACTATTATCCAGGAGTTCCTGGGAATCTCTGGATGAATGAATTGCTTGGGGCTCTGACTGATATCAGGGAGAAGCTTACCGTTTTTGACTCCTTCGCAGGGTCATTGAACATGTTCACTTTGAGACCAAGAAAACAGCATATGTGTCCTCCATTCATTCCCATACCCAATCTAAAGTAAACCTGGAGGCTGGTACTTCTGATAGCCCCTCTGCCCCACCTAAAGATGAAAGAGGGCATGGTTTGAGGATAGATCCATCTAGTAGGGGCAAGGACAGCGTGTGGAGCTCCTGCAGGAGAGGGGCCCAGCAGGAAAGGCTGAGAAATTTGTAGTCCACAGTCTGGGGCATCTCCCTGGCAACTGGCAGTGGGGCAAAAATTAGCCAGAGGCTGTCAGTAGAAATGGAATGACTTCTAAGTCATTGACTGAGGGACCAGGATAAGTCCCAGGAACTAGGGCTTCCAACATGAATGGGGCAGCTCCTTTAATGGACAAGGGGGCCAAGGAAGCCAGATGAAATGTGGAGTGTTGGGGATACTGATGGGGGTAAGGATGGGGCAGAACTGGTGGAGGGAATCCAGGGCCATGCCAGAATCTAGTCAAGTCCAACAGAGAAGTAGCCCCAAACATCTACCCGAGGGGCTAAGCGGAAAGAAGTTATGGCAGGCAGAAAACAGAGCCCTTGGGCTGTGCAGTGAGGAATTTGGAGCACAGCCACAGAGCTTTTTATAGGCAATGCTCTTTGTCAGTGGGTGGGCAGGGAGTTATTGAGGTGCTGAGTTGAGTTTGACAAGGTACAGCAACCATGTCTAATTTATCTCATTCCTGCCCGACCCTTCAAGTCTCAGTGATTTTGGTTGAATGAATTTCTTATTGTATTTACCCATCAGTATTGATCACTGATTTAAACCTCTGTGTGCATAAGAGTTAACAGACCAGGCTCGAGAATGCTAGCTCTCAAAAGGCCTGCTTGCAAAGCTGGATCTTGGTTGGAGTCTGGGAACTTGGACTTCAAGAGGGTTCCCACTACTCTGATAAGAATGGCATGGCTCACTGGTCTAAACTGTACAACCAACGTGGTTTATGCTGAACATCTGCTTTCCTCCCGAAGGTCTAGAATTTTGGCATGGGTTTGGCAGAGAATGTCAATATGACCAGCCCCCAACAAAAAGCCTTGGGCAATGAGTCTCTAAAATGAGCCTCTGTGGTGTTCAATGCTTCACACGTGTTGTTACAACTCACGGCTGGAGGAATTAAGTGCATCTTACGTAATTCCACTGGGAGAGGACTCTTGGAAGCTTATACCTGTTGCCCTCTAGATTTTGCCCCGTGAGCCTTTTCCCTTTGCTAATTCTGCTTCTCATTCTTTCTCTGCAATTAATCATAGCCTCAACTACACGCTGTGTCCTACGTGTCTTCCTAGTGAATCCCTGAATTGGGACCCCCAACATGCTTTGTATCCCCATGCGTTAGGACGGTATGTGACAGCGAGTTGCTATTCGTGAATGTTCATTATTTGAATGTAACATTCCCCCATCTGTCATTTCTGCCTTGTCGGATGAGAATTCTCCACCAGGTTTCTACTCCAGATGTCTCAACAAATCTCCATTTCCTATACATTACACACTCACAGAAATACTCTTCTGCATATTTCTAGCATAAAACCTCAACAAAGCTTGAGTCTAGTCCAAGAGAAATGGCTCAGATTCACTCAGAATTACTTGACTGGAATTGTGGGAATGAGAGTATCTGGAAACTCTTCAGAAATAAAGAAATGCCCAGCATCTTTGTACACACCAAATATTTTATTAATGCATTTCTATTTACCATTTCTTTTTCTGTCTACTGTTTCTACTTTCTACCTCCCTGTGAAGTAGACAGAGAAGGTATTAGTGTCTTCATTTTGCATTTGGAGAGAATGAGGCCTAGGATATGGAATAACTTGTGAAAGTTCAGTCAGTAAATTATGACAGGAGAAGGCTCAGAGTCATGTCTTCTGATAGCCCCTAAAGATAGACATTCTCCTTTCTCAATTTCATGGTGCAGAGCAAAATAGTTGGTTCACATCAGCTACTTGTTTCATTGAATTTAAAAGAATTTCGCAGGGTGAAAATATAATTATGATGCATTTTTCTCTTTTCATAGTTTAGTAAAGTACTGAGCCCATTATTTTTATCAGAGGTCCAATATGAGGCCTCTAGTTGAACAGGACAACTTCATTGTTCAAAGCCTTCCCCACATTAGGAACGGAGACTTAGCACTATATGTTTTTATGTATCTCAGTTTGATCCATACCAGACTTAAAGCCGACAGGAATTCAAAGGAGGATCTAAGTTGTCGAGTGGTTTTCTTGTATTCCCATTTTATCTTCACTGCAGTACTTTTTCTTCTTTTCTCCTCTATCCCAACTACCCAAGAAGAAGAGAAAAGTGGAGAAAAGGATAGAAAGGGTAAAAGTCTCTTGCAAGAACTTTAGTTCATTGTATGTCATTTAATCTCTTCAGGCTTTTTGTCTCTTGGTAAAAAAATGGTGAGGTACAACTAGCATATGGGAGATAAGAAAGCTCAAACATAAGAGCAAGGACTTTCGTGGTACCCATTGCTCATGACTGGAAGATCAAGCAGTTTTCCCTGACTGGGAAAGAAAGAACGACATAGCAAGACTGTTGAATCACAGATCTGTACCTCTGAAACAAATAATGCAATATATGTTAAGAAAAAAAAAAAAAAGAAGAAGAAGATAGCAGGAGGGGAAGAATGAAGGGGGAGAAATCGGAGGGGGAGACGAACCATGAGAGACGATGGACTCTGAGAAACAAACTGAGGGTTCTAGAGGGGAGGAGGGTGGGAGGATGGGTTAGGCTGGTGATGGGTATTAAAGAGGGCACGTTCTGCACGGAGCACTGGGTGTTATGCACAAACAATGAATCATGGGACACTACATCAAAAACTAATGATGTAATGTATGGTGATTAACATAATAATAAAACATTTTTTAAAAACTAAAAAAAAAAAAAAGAAAGAACGACATAGACTATGACCAGTAGGCATTTCAAGGCAGACCTTTTCTTCAAAATTGCCATTTGATCTAACGCAGTTAGGCTAGATAAACAAGTTGTCTGTCTTTGAAGACTTTAGATGACTCATAATTCATGTTGGTGTCACTTTAGGAATCTGGTTTATCAGAGCTTCCGCTTGTGTGAGAAACCCCAAGGTGTTCAATAAAAAAGGTCAGGGCGGAAATCACAGGGCAGGTCGTTGAGATACAAGGGGGAGCAAAGGCTGCCTCTGAGGATCCAGCTCCAGGTGCAAGTGTTTGATGATGAAAGGTGGTGTCCTTGAAGACCCTCTGGCCTGGTCCCCTGGGAACTTATGCCAAGTTTCTCAATGGAGTGGGAGAGATAACATCAAGGCTATACTTTGGGGACCTTGTCTGAGGGATTACACTGTTCAAGGTTGGCTGAGAGTGCTTTAATCACTGTATATGCAGTGACAGCCTCAAGGAGAGTGGCTGCAAAGCCTACAGCCATTACTGTGGCAATGGTAACTTCGGGAGGGGAGACATGGCAGCAGGAGGAGGCCCTGGTAGTGGAATGTGTGGTGGCAGAGGGAGGGGGAGTCCAGGGCTGGGGCCACAGTCAGTGTCAGGACCAGAGAAGACATGAATCAGCAATGCCCGTGACTGAGGCTCATGAACTCCTAGAGAGTCCTCCAAATGGGGAGGAAAGGTCAGGGTAAAGGAGTTGGATTTCTAGGCACATCTGGTCAGATATCAATCAGAGTGTCCGTAACACTGGGGTGGCCTAAGGAACCAAGGATTACATTCGTGTGGGAACGAGGGAACAAGGGGCCCAGTGTGGGTCTGACAGCCACCAGCCTAGTCAAATGCTGCTGAGAATTGACTTGGGTTTCTATCAGCCCAGGATCAGTTCTGGTCTTTCTCCTGAGCCCTCACACGGTATGAATCGAGGACTGAGGACCCCTTCCAGGCCATGATGCCCATTTAAAAAAATTTTTATTCTGTTTTGTGTAATAATCATCTCTCTTCTTCAGCCTACCACCCCTCCACTACTCCCATTAGTTGGTTTTTCTTTTCAGTAATTAAACTTCTCTTGACCTGTCCTCATGTTCCACCGCGAGGAGTAGGATGTTCCGGTTCTTCAGAACCTCTTCTGCAGGAATGATGGGGAATGACTCATGCCTTTGTTTTACCCCAGAAGCTTTGTTTATCACGAGTTGAAGGAGTCTTTGAGGTTCTGAGGGGAAGCACATTTATATTAGGGATATGCCTGCCCTGGAGCTATTGTGACCTAATTAGGTCATCAGCTACCCACTGCCCCACCTCCTTAGGCCACAAGACCACAGAGGATTAGAAGACAATAAGAGGGGCATCAGAGAGCGGGAGAAATGTGTGCAAGCTTACACCATAGCCAAATTTAAAATAAACCTAGGTCTTCTGTCTCCACAGTCAGTGCTCTTGCTGATATACTAGGAGACTCTTGCAATTTCCCCTGGATAGCCTAGCAATGGTACCTGAATTCACTGCTCCTTATTTGAGAACTAGCTTCTCAGCATAAACCTAAGGCTTCCAGGGGCTCCTGGCTGGCTCACTCGGTGGAGCAGGAGACTCTTGATCTCAGGGTTGTGAGTTTGAGCCCCATACTGGGTGTAAAGATTGCTTACAAATAAAATCTTAAAAAAAAAAAAATCATAAGGCTTCCAGAGATTGATCTACACTGGATTTCATCATTCCAGGTCCTCCTCTACTCCTTCTGACCCAACTTGGTTAGCCGATATCAGCCAGAAGGGCTGAGGTTGGAGGTAGAGCACACACTGGACCAGTGAAGTGGTCAGTGGACTAGTGATGGCACTAGCAGGAGAGGCAGCCTGCTTTGGGGAGCTTACTGACACTTGAGTTATATGAGCTTAGGCAAGTTACTTCCTCTCCCTGGGCCTCAGTCTGTCATTTGAAAACTATTGGTTTTTATATATTTCTTTTTAACCTCTACCAGGTTTGAAGCCACTAGAAATTAAAGGTTGGGCTGAGGTCCTTGAGGACCTTCATATTCTGTGCCTCCCTGGCCAGCCAATGAAAAGACCTCATTTAGATGAGGACATGTTAACATTCTAGTCCACCATTTACTTCATGGCAGTAAAGTTCAGGACAGGGAACCAGCACATCATTTGGGCTTATTTCCTAACACCGAGTAGCTGGGTACTCACAGCCTTCCTTCCCTCTTGCCCCTCCAACCTTGAGGTCTCTTTTTCTACAAGCTGCTCTGGCCCTGTAGCGCCACCTTGTGGCTTCAGTGGGGAACTGTTTGATGGGTCACAGCACCCCTTCCCTTCTACAATAGGGTGTGGGCTCTCACCCAACCTGTGTTCCCTGCTCCCAGACCCTGGGAATCCATCTTACTACATGTGTATGCTTCTTCCTTCTTCCTCAGTTTATCCAAACCACTGATGGATTTCTCCCCCCTCCCCACCCGGGGAAGTCTTTCTTATCTCTGCTTCCCTTTCCAGCATCTTTCCCATTTCTTTCCCTTTTCCGTTTGCAAACCAAAAATAACTCCATTGTGGTGGATGAGATTAGTGTTATGTAGTCTCTTGGATTAAGAACAAAAATGTTAAAAAAAAAAAGTTAAGATTCTTTACTTATTCTCTCCTCCTCTAATTAAGCCCGCTTTTCCTCATCTCCACCATTTATGAAAAGTAAAAGAAACTCTGTATTACATAATTTTCTTGGTTTTCAGTTTCAGCCTATGACTAGCAATGCAACAGCATTGCTTTATGCTCTTTTGCATTGCAAATATGCCAATTTTCTGCTACTTTGCAAATCAAGTGGGTATTTCCAGTGACCTGGGAACCCAACCACTATTTTAATAGCATTCTTTCTATGGGAAAATATGTGTTGAGTTCCAAACAAATAACTTCCAAGTAGAGTTTTGGAGCACAGCCATGTTGTAAATTGTGCGCTTTCTACAGGGGCGTTGGAGACTGTTTAGGGCATAGTGGCAGACATTGATCCAAGTACTCATATGGTGTTTTGAAAGGTTGGGGATTTTCTAATTCTGTTGAGCAGTGGAATAATTTGATTACACAAAGACCCTTGGAGACAACATGATGGCTCCTTGATAATAAAATAACAATAAAATCGCAGCCATTTATCAAGTGCTTTATGATGCTACATGCACCATGTAGATCATTTTATGTGCATTACTATTTCAACCCTTATAATAATTTCTAAACACAAATGTCACTATCCCCTTTTCACATGTGAGAAACCTGAAGTTCAGAGAGATTCGTTAATTAATACTTTGCCCCACATCACACATGTGGTAATATGTTCTGCCTTCCACGTCCTGGCTCTTAAGCATCATAAAAAAAAAGCAAATGTGTACAGCCAAGTGTGGTTTCTAGAATGAGAGAGTTGGCATTTAAATGCCATGGGCATATGTAGCTTTGCTCGACAAGCTCCCTCAGCAAGCAGCAACTCAATCAGAAAGTAAGAAAATTTCATTATTTGGCTGGTCATAAACAATAACCAGTTAAGCAGGTAAGCAATCTTAGCAATCTAAAAGCACTCTTCCATATATTATTCCATTAGATGCCCACAATAACCCAGGGAGACAGTGATCAGAGTGTAGATGTGCAACAATCCCATTTTATAGATGAAAAAGTTAAAACCCCAGAGAAGCCAGGTGAATTATCTATGTGCACATGATGAGAATAGCAAAGCTGACCAGGAATCCTTCTGACTTGCTGTGGATGTAGTTGAGCTGGGATGGAGTACTTAGTGGCGCATTAGGAGACATTCGGGTCTCTGTCTTACAGGGTTGGGAGAGCTGCATAAAGTGAGCTTGGCCAATTCCCACACAATCTAGGCTTTTGGGAAAGGTGTTCTGGGTGGAGATCACTGCTCCTGCCTCTTCATTTGCTCAAACAGACGGCGTGTGTGAAACAAACATCGCAAACTACACGAATGTTCAGAACACTCTGAACTCTTATTTTTTTCACCACTGACTTTAGGTCTTGTAGGTGCATTTCTGTCTGAGAGTGGTAGTCCCTAGGAGGAGGTAGCAGGAGAGAGATGAGAAAAGGCAGAGAGCCATTAGAAATGGAGAAGACCAGCTATGGAATGGAGCCCTGTCTCTCTTTGCCTTCCTCCTAGCACCTCTCTCACTAGGGCTGTGACTCCCGATTGTCTTTCTGAAGGGTATTGCTTTCAGCTGCTAATGATGTTCCCTAAGGCATTAATAGCTGAGGGAGTCCGTGGAGTCAAGAAGATAGACCCTCCTAAGCTTTGTAACTTGACCCACTTGGCTCAAACCTCAGCTCTGCTACTTGCTCACCGTGGTTTTGTGAAAAAGTGGTTCGTGAAAGAAGAATATTAAGGCCCATCCCATAGGGCCCTTGTGAGGACTAAACACTATAGCCCATGTAAAATTCCTAGAACAGGGCCTCGTGTAGAGTAGTCCTCAATAAATGGTAGCTTCATGTGCATTATTCCCCTTGTCGATGACATGTGCGTTCTCATCTGAGGCTCTGGAGGTTGCAAGTTGCTTCAGTTCTGTGCTAGCATAATTTAGACCCTGTGTCAGGTCTACTCGTTAGTTTATCCAACATGACTTACCGAGTACACGCAGTCAGCCAGGAAGGCAGAGAACTTTACTGCTCCTCGCATGCTCCCTGACATCTCCCAGTTGCTAAGAGATAGGCAGGGCTCTGCGACCCGTGCTGGCCAGTGGGCTAGGGGGGAGTAACATGTTAAATCCTGGGCCAGGAATTTAAGAACTGAGGTGCGGCCCTTCATCTTCCTCTTCTTTGGGCTACAACAAAGTGGAGGCCGTGCTCCCCAGAAGGCATAGCTCTAAGATAAGGGCAGCTTTGGTCCCTGAGTCACCATTTGGACAGGAGTAGCCCTGGAGATCAGCTGATTTTGTCTGAACAAAAAATAAATACTCATGTATTTATTATTATTAACTCACGAAGACCTTAGGGTTTATTCTCTACTACAGCACAGCCAAACTTAACTAATATATACATAACTAGGCATTGTGCCGAACAATAAAGATATTAAAAAAAAACCTTTTAGGATGTCAATCTCTGCTCTCAAGAAGCTTATAGTCAAAGAAGACAGACTTTAATAGCTCATTCTCTGTTAGTTGCTATGGCATAGAGTGTAACAGGAGTCCTTTCCTGGGGGAAGTTATCAGGGGATTTAGGAATATTCCCATTGCTTCTCAAGTAACATCCATAGATGATGTTCTACCCCATCTAGTTTAGACAAGCTCCAATTCTCAGCTTATCCATAAAGTGAGGAAGTGACTATCTTAGAGATCTTGTACAAATGAAAGGATCCTATAAAATGCAGAATAGCCTAGTGGTTAAGAGTAAAGTTTGGGGACTTTTGCTTCCTGTTTGGAGATAGGAGAACGCAGAAAGTCATTTCTCCTTTGATTCTATTTCAAGACTCTCTGTTTTGTTCCACTGATCTATTTGTCTATCTTTATACCAATACCACACTGACTCGATCATGGTTCTTGGGCAGTTTCCTCCAGATTGATCTACAGATTCGGTTTTACCCAATCGCAATCCCGGAAGGCTCTGCATTGGAAGGAATTGGTACCTAGTTCCATGCAAGCTTATTTCTCAAAGAAACTACCCCAGTCCAATTGTTTGAGAAAAGTTAACTTCTCTGCCTTTTGGAAGTGATAGCCATGTCACTGGTTTCTCCTGCCAGTAGTCAGGAAGCAATGGTCAAGTTACAGTGTACATCCCTGAGGGCTGGGGCTTTTCCCTCTTAAGGACACCCATAAATATTCCATTGAGTGGTTTCTAAGACTTAACTTCGCTAGGCATAACCTTCTCTGTAGTGTCTTTGAAGCAAAACCTTCCTTTGCCAGTCCCCTCAGTGTCCCTTGACCTGTCTCTATACAGCCCCTTTTGGCCACATCGCTCCCCTTGAAAACTCACAATCACCACCTCTAATGCCCACACAGTCTCCGACCTCTCTTCCAGACCTCTTGCCATTTGATCTGCTTCCCCCTTTCAAGTGCACAGAAGATACCCAGGAACAAACCTGATGCTATAGCGTCTTCCAGTCCCTGGGGAGAGTGGTGTCCAGAGGCAGCTGTTGAAAACCTGGCTCACTGCTGGATGTGGCAGGAAACAGGTCACTCCCCACAACTCCTTGAGTTCAGAAGCAGTTCAAGGTGATAAGTTAATTTTCCAGCTTGGAAGTAAATGAGCAACTAGGCCAGCACAAGGTTAATCTTGAAATGAACTTTGTGGGTTTTGCAAAGTCATCTCAAATTTGAGTGAGCTGATTACACAATTAAAACTTCAAAATAAAATAGTTGCTTCTATGCTCCCAAGCCATATAGGTTCCCAATTCGTCAAAGACGGTTTCAGAAAGGGAGCAGGTGATTTCAGGTGGAGAATTACAAAAGCATCTGTGTTGTAAAGGAAAGGCTTGTCTGGGGATGTTTACTGAAGGTCAATAATTTAAAAATAATTTGTGCCGGTCCTTCCGTGTGGGCCTGCCCCAGCTCTTGTCACATCTCCTTAGTAGTGTAACAACAGTGAACATTTATTAAGTGCTTACAATGGGCCTGACATATTGCCTGCATTATTTTTCTCGATCCTCACCTGCAGCCATAGGGGCAGATACTATTTTCCCCATCTTTTCAGAAGAGAAAATGAAGTTATTCACTTGCCCTTTCTTCCCTAAGGAGCAGAGTAGGGATTTGACTCTAGCCTTCAGCCACCATTCGGTGGCATGTGGAGATTGTAGGCAATTCTGTGGACCCATGGCAGTGGGATTTGTCTATCTTTTAGGATCTGTGGTTGGAGCAAAAAAATCACTTTCCTGCAGATTTGTTATATCTTCCCCACTCGCTCCTCTATACTGCGTTTGCTTGGAGAGTAATTGCTACTTGTTGTGTTACCACTAGATGGCAGTGTGACCTCAGAAATGCTTTTCAAAGGGCCCATACTCTGGGATCTGGAAATTCCATAGCAATTTTCACCCCTCCACAATCAGCTTCTAGGCCATGCCTAGGGTCAGCTCCCCCAACACCTGGCCTGCTCACTGTCCCCTGATCCAGACTTTCCATTGCCATTTTCCAATCTTGGATCGTGTCCTTCCCTTCCCGGGGACATTAGTGCAGGGGTTAGGAACCCAGCCCCTGGAGCATAATGCCCGAGCTCAAATCTGTGGCCACTTAATTTCTCTATATTTCAGTTTCCTATAACATTTCCCACACTTTAATGAGAAGTAAATGAGTGAATGCTTTTAAGGGTCTCGTAATAGATACAACATATAGGTCTCATCACTCGATTCATAGCTTGAATCTGGTTGAAAGTAGATTCTCAAGTTTGAATCTACTACAGTGTTTTGGGGACATTTTGAATCTGATCACGGAGCTAAGGAGCATCCTCTCTTCCAAGGTGACTAACGTTTTCCTCTACTTGCACCAAAACACATGGTTTTCATGTCTCTGCCTTGTACTTGCTGTTCCTTCTTTCTGGAATATTCTCATTGCTCCTACTTGTCCGTAAGACTGGGTTGATGTGTCTCCCCATCCATGAAGCCTTCCCCAGTCTCCCAGACAGAGCTGACTCTGTGTGTGTGGGTGTGTGTGTGTGTGAAACTTGTCACACTCTACTCCAGGGGGTCCATTATGGTGGTGGCTTTTGCAGAATTTTGAGTTCCTTGAGGCCAGAAACCATGTTGTATTGACTCTGGAATCCCACTGCCCAGCGTAGGGCCTGGCCCATGACAGGCACAGGACGATAGTTTGTTGTAGAGTTAGGAAACAGGTGTTACAACCTGAATGCTCAAAGAAACAGGCAGAGCATGCAGCCAACCTCATTCATTCCCATTTTTACCCACTTCACCCTCCTTTTTTTCCTTTCTACTACGGGTTGCACCGGAAGAGTAGGGCCAATTTAATGCAAAGGTCAGGATATCTTTGGTTTCTGGACTGCTGACTGAGGTTCACATTTCTGAACTTGCAATGACAAGAGTAGATTCAGGGGCCGAATTCCAAGTGATCACACATTCTGTTGATACAGTCAGCTTTTTTAAGTCCCAAGATTCCGATCAGCCCTCCAGCTCCTTGCCCACATACCACCACACCGCTGACTCCCACTGGAGTCCGCCATTGTGAATGCTGAGTGAGCTACCTTGGGCTCAAATGGACCCACTAGGCCTGCCATACCACTAAGGGTAAGAGGAGTTTTTGGTGCCTCTGGAAAGCAGCTGCCTGAAACTGCCCTTCTTCTTCCCCCTTGATACATTGAATTTGCAAGTCTCCTTTCCTTGAAAGTATTCTGTGTGCACTCAAGGTTCATTCCTTGAAGTAGGGAAATTCAGGCTCTGTGATCATGCTGCCTGGCTATTCCTATACTTTGCTGGGAGCTGGCAGCAAGCATTGGTTGTGCTCAAGCCTATTTGATCCACAAACCGGATCTACTTCCTAGAATCATGGGTGGACTATAATTTTAAACATTAAGCTACAGTTCTACCCCATCGCCCCAGGTTCTCAACCCTAATTATTTCTACTGTATGATTCTTGGTCACTCAAAATCTGAGGCATGAGAAAAGAAATGCAAGAGAAGGCAGGAGCAGAAATAGACACAGTTATGGTCTCCCAGTTGCTGAAACCATCTTAGGTTTCACTTTTTTAAGTTTTAGTATAATTTACACATAATAAAACAAACTCATTTTAAATGTACAGTTTGATGAATTTTGACAAAACCGGTATAACCTCTGATACAATCAAGATGTTGGATATTTCCACCACAGAAAATTTCCTGTTTCTTCCCAGTCAATGCCCTCCCACCCACAGCAATGATCTCTGTTCTGATTTCTATCACTGTGGCTTAGTTTTGCCTGTTCTAGAACTTTAATTTATGGGAAGCCATTAAATGATTATTTATGCATGTTTAGCTTCTTTCACTCAACAAAATGCTTTTGAGATTCATCTATGTTGCTGCTTGTATGAGTAGTTTATTCTTTTTTCATTGCTTAGTGTTGTTCTATTATGTTAGCAGAACTCAAATTTGTTTATGCATTATCCTGTAGGTGGGCATTTGGGTTGTTACCAGTTTGGGGGTTACTATGAATAGAAGTGCTATGAACTCTCCTACACAAGTCTTTTTTTTAAAGACTTTATTTTTAAGTAATCTCTACACCCAACATGGGGATTGAACTCAAAACCCGAGATCAAGAGTCACGTGCTCTTCCGACTGAGCCAGCCAGGTGCTCCACTATACTATTCTTTTTGTGAACACGTTTTTATTTCTCTTGGATAGATGCCCCAAAGTAAAACTGCTGAGTAACAGAGTAGTTATATTTTTACCTTTGTTAGAAAAACTTCTTCCAAGTGGTCATACCATTTCATATTCCCAAGCCCAGAATATGAAATTTTTAGTTCTTTGGCTTGGCATAAGTTTGTTCTGTTAGCGCATAGTCACCTCTTAGAACGGTTCAAAGAACCATAACATTGGGTCTCAGAAACAGATTTCTGAGTGTTCTTTTCCTTGGAGATGCTTCATACTTTAGTACCCTTGTTAGGAAAAGGGCTTTCCCCTCACTGGGACCTTAGACACAGCATGCAAAATTAGGAAGGATGTCCAAGGAGCAATAAAGGAGGAAGGCAATACAGCTCAGCCCACCATGCAGGATCAAACCCAACCAATCTGATGACAGATGTTCAGGCCAGATCACCCTCAAATTGAAGAGTGCCTTTACAGCAAGTCACTACCCCATTCCTGGGTAATCAGAGAAATTTATTTGCAGTCCGTTAGCTAATTGTTCCCATACTGAGCACAGATCTTAACTAAATGCCCTAAATGACATTTAAATTTCTGGTCTGTTATGAAACAGTTGATGATTTACCATGCTCATATCCTGCCAGTAGAGTTGACTTTAATTTGCTGAAGATTGCGGCTGATTTCTGAGATCCCTAAAATAAGATATGAAGTAAAGATCTCAAGATAATACATTAAGTACTGTGGAAGATAGAGACTTTGCTGTCAGGATAGGGACATGGCATGCCAGCTACGTGGCATTTGGTGAGTCACGTCACTTCTCTCGGCGTCAGGTCACGCAAAACCAAAGTGGGAACAATAATTCTTATTTCTCCCCTCCTTCCTGCTACGGTGGGTGTGAGATTCAAATGAGATACAGCTGCATTCAAATCCTGACTGCCACATCCTACCAAAAGCCTGACTGTGTTACTTTTTTTTTTTTTTAAGATTTTATTCATTTATTTGACAGAGAGAGACACAGAGAGAGAGGGAACACAATAGGGGGAGCGGGAGAGGGAGAAGTAGGCTTCCCGCTGAGCAGGGAGCCCAACGTGGGGCTCGATTCCAGGACCCCGGGATCATGACCCAAGCCCAAGACAGACGCCTAAAGACTGAGCCACCCAGGTGCCCCAATTACTTTTTTTTTTTAAGATTTTATTTATTTATTTGAGAGAGAGAGAGAGAGCAGCATGTGAAAGAGCAGGGGGAGGGAAAGCAGACTCTCCACTGAGCAGAGCCCGGATGGCGTGATCCCAGGACACCTGCCAGATCTGGACCTGAGCCGAAGGCAGACGCTTTAACCCTTTAACTGACTGAGCCACCCAGGTGCCCCTTGACTGTGTTATTTACTTAACTTTCCAAATTTGGGTTTTTATCCCTGTAAAGTGAAGGTAACAAGAGAATACCTTGCAAGGTTGTTACAAGAACCAGGTAATGTGTGTAAAGCACCAATCACCATGGGTGCTCAGTAAACGGGAGCCTCATTGTTAAGCAGGCTACTGGTTTGGGACACACAAGGATGCCCCCAACCAGATGGCAGTTTTTTCAAAGGGCAGAGCCACTCAATCGACAGCCCACCTCTGTTGAACTAGGCACCACGTCCCACTGATAAAGCTCACAAGGTGACAGCAACAGTGACTGGGCTGTGATATGTAACCTGGGTCACATGGAGCCACCCTCTTTTGAACACTAAACAGCAGATAAGCCTGCTTTGGCTCCCACCCTCCGTGAGTGGGGGATTCTCAGCCCTCCCCTCCGTGCTTCCGTGGATTCTCAGCGCCTGCATCTCTTTCCAGTTCTTCCTGAGTTCCGGCTTCTGC